AGAGAGAATGAGAGACAGAGAGCACGAGAGGGAAGAGGGTCAGAGGGAGAAGCAGACCCCCCGCCGAGCAGGGAGCCCGATGCGGGACTCGATCCCTGGACTCCAGGATCATGACCTGAGCCGAAGGCAGTCGCTTAACCAACTGAGCCACCCAGGCGCCCAGAATTAGTTTTTAATGTGGGAAATATTAGCATAGAGGTGTGGAATACATAGAAATGAACAAACTTTGCAATGAAATGAACATAAAGGGAAAAGAACTGAAAGCCAAGGAATGAAGCCCGTGGAGCCTCTGAATTAAGGGGACAAGAAGAAGAAAAAAAAGATCTTTGAGGGAAAAACAGGAAGTAGTCAGGAAGGATGATATTTTAGGGTCACAGAAGCCAAGTAAAAAGAAAGCCCTTTAAGAAAAGGGGATGATAGACAGTAGCATCCAATGAAACAAAGAGTAAATCTTTGTTTCTCCCCAGGAAAGGGATGTGTAAATGTTTGCAGACATCAGCTTGTACACGGTGAACTGTCTTTACCTTGTGGTAGCTCGGAGAGGATGAGCTTCCATTGGGCATAAGTTACTTCTCATTAATCACCCTTCATGAGGCTTTAGTTTTCAAGCAGTTAAACTTACCTCACTCCAAATCATTTGGTGTTCAGTGTCAGCAAAGCATACGACATTTGATGTTTATAAACTGTGACCCTTGCTCTGACCTCTTTTACAGGAGTATAACCAGTTCTGTGTAATCGAAGAAGCAACCAAAGCAAGTGAAGTTTTAGAAAATTTGACTCAGGGAAAGATGTGCTTAGTTCCTGGTAAAACAAGGAAGTTTTTATTTAAATTTGTTGCAAAAACTGAAGACGTGGGAAAGAAAATTGAGGTTAGTTATGAAATTTGTTTAAAACATACTTTAAGTGACAAAAGTATATGTGTATGTCAGAAAAAATTTCAGATAGTACACAAGTTTGTTGAGTAAAAAATTAACATCATCCACTTGGACTTCGCAAGGGCAGTCATGGTTTGGTGGGTTTTCTTTTATTGAGACTAATCTATACATAATATTCTATCGTTGATTTTTTTCACTTACCAGTGGACATTAGGCATCATTTCCTGTTAGTACATAAGACCAACCTCATTTTTGATGGCTACATAATCAGTTAAAGACTTTTAAACAAAATATATATATTAAGTACTGTAGCAATTATATTTTGTATAATATGACATAATTCAGGCTAGAGAGCTATATCATTTTGATGTTTAAACATTTCTGATTGCATTTTTTTAAAGAAAAAAATGAAGACGTATATATTTTAAAGGATTCATTTAATATTCATAATTAAAATCCTTTTTAGAAATATATGGTGAAAATACTATTTTTATTGAGCATAAACTCTGAACCAAACTACATGGGTTTAAATTCCGCCTCTCCAGCTTACTAGCGTGTGGCCCTGGCCAGTTACTTGACCTCTTTGTATCTCAGTTTACTCATCTGTAAAGTGGGGATAATAATGGTACCTACCTCTTAGTGTTTCGTGAGGATTAAATCAGTTAGTTGATGTAAATTGCTTGGAATAGTGATTAATACATAGTAAGCTTTCATTAAGTGCTTGTTTTCTATGGCTTGAAAACCATGGTGATATTTGGCTGATCTAAACTTAGGACCATTTCTAAGATAGAAACTTAAGACTGTACTACCAGTATTCCCATAACACTTTCTGTGAACCTGTCCATTTTATTATTAACCAAAATCCAGAGTTTTTTGCTTATTCACTAAAAAAAAAAATTCTTTATGATTTTGACTAAATCCCTAATTACATATTTTATTTTTGCAAGGTACCTAAGGAAGCTTACCAGATGGAAATCATAATTAATAACACTATTTTGAGTACATTTGTTAATGGATTTAGTTGAAAGGGACATTTATTCAGTTAATAATACTATAGATGTCTTTGGGAAAAGTACGTTTGGAATTAGGAATTAGGTTATGAGTATGCTAATGGTCATCAAACCATTGATGTATTTCACTCAGCAACCACTAACTGAGCATCTTTTACGTCAGGTTCTTATCTCCGTTTAAAGGTGAACCTAGTCAGTGTCACAGCTAATAGATGACCAGGACAACTGTCCCAGCAGGTGTTCTGACCTCATCACCCTGTGGGTCTCTAGAGGAACTCGACAGACCAGCAGTCACTATGTCATTTGTCGTGAGGGGATGGTGGCAAGTATGAGGTGGCATTTCTCACAGCCCTCCATCTTTCAGATTACTTCGGTAGATCTGGTTCTGGGCCACGAGACGGGAAGATGTGTGGTTTTAAATTGGCAAGGAGGAGGAGGGGACGCCGCTTCCTCCCAAGAAGCCTTGCAGGCCTCGCGTTCTTTCAAAAGACGGCCAAAGCTCCCTGACAATGAACTTCACTGGGACAGCATAGTCATTCAGGCAAGCACAATGTACGTCCACCTCGCTAGGCAGATCATGGAAGCCCATCTTGTTTCTTCTAAATACTTTGAATAACTTGTTTTCTTAAGAATCGGTTACTCAGCTAAGGTTTTTTTTTCCCCCAAAGGATCATCTCCAGAGTTCCAAACATTTCTGTGCATCTGCGACATGACCCTCCTGCCCTGACCAATGAAATGTATTGTTTGGTTGTGACCGTTGAGTCCCACGAGAAGACCCGAATCAGAGACGTGAAGCTCACCGCTGGTTTAAAACCCGGTAAACATTCCTTTTTAAAAACTGGTCAGTGTTCATTCAACATAAAATAAATATCAGTGGTGTCAACTACAGGAAGTGTATTTAAAATATGGTTATGAAGTAGTTATGAAATGGTCTGTGCAGTATGAATTGTTAGGATAAAGTTTGAATTCTCTGTATTTAAAACACCGATATTAACACTTTTAGGACAGGATGCCAATTTAACTCAGAAAACGCACGTGTCTCTTCATGGAACAGAACTGTGTGATGAGTCCTACCCGGCTTTACTCACTGACATTCCTGTGGGAGACTTACATCCGGGGGAACAGGTGAACCTTGGTCAACTACGATGGGAGAGGAAATCAACTAGATTGCAGTTTTAAATATGTAGTGAGTCTTAGATAGTTCTAGAGCATTTTAACAGCATATCCTGAGACTAAAAATGGGATTTAACTAATGCACATTTTATACACATTTTACGTATTTAAATGTGTAAAATGTTGTAAGCAGTTTTTATACGAGTGATTTTAGAGCAAATGACCCTAATATGGAGAACTAGTTGCCTTGATAAAATACCTAAATAACATTAAGTGTGTAATTTAGTGGAATAACCCCTCAGGCAGCTTTTATTTCCAAACTAAACACAAACAATCTTGGGAAGTTGCCAGTGATAGTAAGAACAGGTGGAATAGTAATGATCCCACTCTTATACTGAGGCAGGAACAGCCTGTAAAAAGTGTTCAAGAATTTAGTCAGTTGGTACAATAAACTTTTAAAAGGTGGGGAACGTTATCCTAGAGTATATGTCAGGAGGAAATCTCTGAATTATTGAAGTACTTTTATTTTGTTACAGCTGGAAAAAATGTTATACGTTCGCTGTGGAACAGTGGGTTCAAGAATGTTTCTCGTGTATGTTTCTTACCTGATCAATACAACTATTGAAGACAAAGAAATTGTTTGCAAGTGTCACAAGGTAGAACTTTTCATAGCTACTTCAGGAAGGATCCTGGGTGGAGTGTTCCCTATTTTGTGTTTCTTAGTTTACCTGTAACAAGATGAGCAGCTTAGGTGCTTGTAATCTATAACAATTTTTTTTTTTTAATTTACAAATTTTAATTAAACATTTCTTGTGTTTTTTTCAATCATTTATAACATTATAAATGATATACTATGGCTGTCATTGCTCAAACTTCAGAAAATTGGCCTCCATGGCTTTTCGTATGGTCAGGGGATTTGGGATCTTTTGCAAAAAGTTTGAGACTCTAAACCTATATGTTTCCTTATAAACTCACACATTGGACAAAATCTGTAAGTTATACACTGAAGATTTTGGAGGATGGGAGGTCTCCCTTTATGAAATCTTTGTTCTGTTAGAAAGGACTATGGAAATTGTTGCTGCTAAGTCCAGACAGAGGGTAGGAATAAGGCCAGCGTGGTCATAGTCGGCCACTTGGAGGCCACTGCTGTCACCTCGTTGGTGTATTTTCTGTTGGTCTCTTCTCTATTTACAGCGGTTTGGGGGAGCCATGTTTTTATCTAGATTTAACCATATGGTCTGTAATTGCTTGTATTTTCTTTTAGTAAAGGAAAATCACGATATCGACTGTCTTGTTAGTTTTACCTGTGTTGTTTTGGCCTGTTCTCGGGAAGTGGGCCCTCAGCCAGCAGAGGAGAAGGCCAGTCAGTTTGGCCATTTGTAGGAAGGTTATAGCGCAGATTCTGGGCCATCGGCTGTTTCGTGAGTCCGTGAGAGGCAACCCCATCCTAAGAGAGTTAGAAGGATGTCCCAAGTGGAAGGAGGGAAGGCATTGAATATATCAAAGACTTCACCTAGCCCGATGCACTGGAATGAATCCTGGGGGGCGGAGGAGGAGGTGAGAGTGCCAGTCTCAGCGTGGCCTCCTAACCTGGTGCTCAGGCTAGCCATGGAAACCTCTGGCCTCCATTTCCTCATCTCCAAAACAAGAACAGTACTGTTCTGTGCAGCTTTGGAGTCCTCAGCCTCGGATGTCATTTCTACTTCGGATAATGAAGCTTCTAGTAGACTTGGAACATACCTTTTTAAAATAATTGTCTGCTCTGTAGTAATGATCCCGGAATCACACTACAGTGGTGTGCAGTGCTCTCTTCTCCTCAGGACGTGATATTACTGAGGTGCATGCCGCTTGTTCTTAATCCCCTTCCCCTATTTCTGTCGTCCCCGCACCGCCCTCCCTTCTGGTAACCAGCAGTATGTTCTCTATAGTTAAGAGTCTTTTGGCTTGTCTCTTCCTTTCTTCATTTGTTTGGTTTCTTAAATTCCACACATGAGTGAAATCATATGGTATTTGTCTTTCTCTGACTGACTTATTTCACCTACCATCACACTCTCTCGCTCCGTCCGTGTCATTGCAAATGGCAAGATTTCATGCTTTTTGATGACTTTATAATAGTGTGCCACCGTGTGGGTGTAGCTGTACCTCTCATCTTTTTTATCCATTCATCTGTTGATGGACATTTGGTTTGCTTCCACAATTTGGCTATTGTAAATAATGCAGTAAACCTAGGGATGCATATATCCTTTTGAATTCGTGTTTTCGTATTCTTTGGGTACATACTCAGTAGTGGAATTACTGGATCGCACGGTAATTCAATTTTTAATTTTTTGAGGAACCTCCATGCTGTTGTCCACAGAAAATGTCATCTGCCCATTTTTTTAATTGGATTATTTGATTTTTTTTTTGGTGTTAGGTTGTGTAAGTACTTTATATATTTTGGATACTAACCCTTTATTGGATATGTCATTTGCAGACATTTTTCTCCTATTCAGTAGGTTGTCTTTTAGTTTTTTAAAGAAGCTATTTATTCTTCTATCAGCCAGTCCATTCCCAAGGTAAGCTTTTAAGGGACACTAATTCTGAGGGACAGAAATAGATGTTGCACAAAAGAATGAATTGGTCAAATATGTTCGGTTAAAAGGTATTAAACAGATATTTGGACTTCAGGGCTTAGCACAGCATTGAATTTGCTAATGTGTGTTGAGAATTTCACAAAAGGCTGTGGTGGTTATCTTTCAAAATCATTTTACTAAGAAGCGCTTTTCTCATGGAATGTCTGTCTTACAGGTCCTAGTGTTACTTGCAAGACATTTTGGAAATTTAAATGTAATTTCTTTTCCCTTCACTGGATTAAATCTCATTTTTACCTGCATGTGTGTCTGCTTCGTAGGCCATGTGGAAATTTAAAGTAGGCCACATCGAAGCTACTCATTGAGTTGCTTCTTCATTTCCATATATCTTTTCGGTGGGGGAATATTGAGGCCCTAGGCTTTAGATCATGGAACCCCTGCATCCGTTTTCAACCATCAATATCCTACTTACTGCACGTTCTTAAAAAGTTAGCTTGATGGTATTGAGAGGAAATATTTGAAGCATATAATAATAATAAACATGGTTTAGGCATTCCACTGGTCCTGCATATGCATCGTCTCACTTCATTGTCAACAGCCCTGTGAGGATCATGGAGCTGAGACTCAGAGACCATGTCCCCTCCCCACGGTCACCTCACTGTGCCCAGAGTCCTCAGGGTTCTAAGTATGTGTCCTCAAGGATTAAAACCCACATCTACCTGGCATTTGTACAGCCTTGAGTTTTTAATCAACGTGACTTTTTTTTTTTTAAAGGGTTCTCACCAATGGGATGGGTGGTTTGGTTCCAAAGCCATAGTAACCCCATTGTTTAGTGAATAGACTCAGGGAAGAGACGTAGCACCGTTGGTTAAGAGTACAAGCTTGAGGGTGAAATCTGCCTTTGTCACTTACTAGCTATGTGTGACCACTTCATCTTAAAATGATGAGTATAGGGGCGCTTGGGTGGCTCAGTCAGTTAAGCGTCTGCCTTCGGCTCAGGTCGTGATCTCAGGGTCCTGGGATCGAGTCTCGTGTCGGGCTCCCTGCTCAGCGGGGAGTCTGCTTCTCCTTCTCCCTCTGCCCTGTCCCCCCCGACCACTGCGTGTGTGCACATGCCCGTGTGCGCGCCCCCGCACACGCGTGCGAGCTCTCTTTTCCTCTCTCTCAAATAAATAAATGAAGTCTTAAATCCTTAAAAAAAATGGCAAGTATAATGGCATCTTTCCTTGAGTTATTACGAACATTACGTAATGCTTGTATAGTGATTACAGCACTGTCACATTTTATTATTGTTACTATCATTATTATTAGTCATCTTGTGTTGAGTCAAGGCAAAGAACTTAGACAAAAAGAAGACTCAGATTCTAGGCTTTGCGCCGCTAGCTTTGTGGGCTGAGGCCAATCATTTAACCTTCCTTAACCTCTGGTTCCTCTTCTGTAAAATGGTGACAGTGCCTGTCTTGCTCACTTGTACTAGATCCTGAGATAATTAATGTGTTAGAAAGCACTTTGCCATGTGAACTGTTACAAAACCATTAGATAATTTATTAGAAATAGCGGTCTGGTCTCTACATAGGTTTTTACAAATACTATCTGAGGGGAAGATCCTAGTTTCTTAATATATAAATTGGGATTATTTATTATCAGTTACAGATTGTGTCTTATACACCTTCTATTTTTAAAACTATTTTTAAGTTTAGAAAAGCCATTGAATGTGCCCTTTAAATTTTCTTGCAGGATGAAACTGTAACTATAGAAACTGTCTTTCCATTTGATGTTGCGGTTAAATTTGTCTCTACAAAGGTATGTTCCTGTGAAGCATTTTGGAAATCATTTCAGTTATAGAAATTAACAGAAAAAGAAAATGGATTACTGTAGTTCCAGACAGACCTTTTGTCTTCATTTGTGACAGTTTGAACACCTGGAAAGGGTCTATGCAGACATCCCCTTTCTATTGATGACCGACCTTTTAAGTGCCTCACCTTGGGCCCTCACTATTGTATCCAGTGAGCTCCAGCTTGCTCCTTCTATGACTCCTGTGGATCAGCTAGAGTCCCAAGTGGACAAAGGTGAGAATGTGGATCATCCCACTTAATTAGAAGACAGATGTGTGTGTGTGTGTGTGTGTGTGTGTGTGTGTGTGTGTAGGTTACCAGTGTAAGAGTTAGCTTTTTGCTAAGGGACGGTAATTGAGACTGACCCTCACTAAAGTGAATAAATTTAGAATTAAGGTAGAATTAGTATCACTTACAGTTTGCTTGAGTATACCTTATTTTAAAAGATAAGATTTTTGCTACTATAAGGAAGTTACTCTTTGAAAAATGTACTTGACAATAAAATATTTTTTCATATTTGGATTTTTTATAGATTATTTTTTTCTTATTAATTTTTAATTATTTACTATTATGTATAACTTGAAATGGTAAAAGATGATTATTGAAAAAACTTGGGGGAAATATAAAAGAGTAGACAATACGTTTTCTAAATCAACTAAAACAGTATAGAGAAGAGATTTAAACCCAGGATATTACTTTTCCAGTGCATCATACTTTGGGCTTGTATACTTCTTGAGCTGTTAGGGAGAAAAAAAATGAGTTTGAATGTTAACCCAAGCAAAATTGTGCTCAGCTATATTATTAGGGTAAATATTATATGCAAAAAAATCATGATATACTCTTAAAACCAAATGAGTCATTTGCTCTATTTGTTTATCTATCTACTACTGGACTTCAGTGTTACAAGTCATATAGTTGATTTGCAATACAGATTAAAATTAGCTGAGTAGTTTTAGAATTCCAGTGTATTTTTTTGCATCTGGCCTATAAATAAGTTTTAATATCTATCAATAAATAATCAGCAGATATTTATCGAGTTCACTGTATGGCACCATGCTAGGTTCTTAAGACACCAAAAGAGCAAGCAGGCTTTATAGTCACTTATGTGCATTTTAGGAAAGTCATCATAAAGGAGGATAGGTAAAATAGGTAGGCAAACAGACAGATAGATAAAATCAAACATGTCCCTAAACCTCTCTGTTTAAATGCTACAAATAGGTCCCACAGTCTGTGAAGTAATAATAATAAAAAACCCATTTTTGCTTTCAGAATGCCTTCATAAGTTTTGTTTTTCTGTCTTTGGAAACTTGGTTTTCTCCTGTGGTTTTGGAAGTCATTGCCTCTGGTTCTACTTTGTTTCTGTGTCCTCTTCTTCCTTTACTCCTCCCTGTGCCAACTTGGAACAATCACGAGATTTAGAGTCACACTGAACGAGATTCAGTTCTCAGTCCTACTGCTTGCTCTTTTGTTATGTTGGACTGTTCATTGGGTTTTATCATTTCTCAGAGTTAAAGAAGATCACGTGTATGAGATAGTCTGGATGAGATAATCTATATGAAAATCTCAGCCCAGTGCTTATCCTTACAGCTCAACACAAGCTAGTTATTTGTCCATTCTTTGCTGACTCCTTTTCTTGCCCCTTCAATGTTGGTCATTTCCAGGATCCTGACTTTGGCTCCCTTACTTTTTCTACAAGTCCTCACCTGCCACACAACCTTGGGCCGCCTGCATTCCGCGGTCCAGCTAGAGGAATCTGTGCGCGCTTGTTCCCAGCGAGGGCCCACGGACACAAACTAGATGCCCTCCATGCGTGCACATCCAGCCCAGCCCCACGTTCTGCCTTCTCCGTGTGTCTTGAATCCAGAGACTGTCACCATCTCTCGTCTGGCCTTCAGGAATACCTCCTTAGCTGGTTTCCTCTTTGCCATTCTCTCCCCTACTCTGCCTTTCCTATTGCTGCCAGAGTTTGATTTCTCAAGAAACTATTCTGAGCGTGTTATTCCCACTTAAAAAGCTTCATGACATTCCAGATCTTTCCCAGCGTAGCTTCCCTTTCCAGCTTCTTCTGCACCACCCTCTCTTCTTCCCCTTCCTCTTTCCCAGACTTTGACCAAGCCAAACTTTACAGTCAGCAAACATTGCCTCCCTCTGGTTTTGAACATGGTAGTACCTTGGCCCAAAACCCTTTCCTTTTTCTTTCAAGCTGTCAAACTCTTGTGTGCTCTTCAGGACTCCTATAAGCTTTGACTTTTTGATCTTCCCAAGCAGGGCTAGGTCGTCTTCCTTCTTTACTCGCCGAGTATCTTGTACATGTGATAACACTTAACCGTTCTATCGTAATTATTTATTTGCAGTTATGGCACCTCCACTATGCTGTGTGCTCTTGAAGAGCTGGAGCCATGACGTCATCCTCTTTGTATTGCCAGCCTCGTAGTAGTTGGCATTTAATAAGTGTTTATTAAATTAATGAATAATGTCCACCTTGAATTTCCCATTACTAGTTTTCTATTGCTGCTGTAACAAATTACCAAGTTAGTGGCTTAAAACAACACAGATTTATCTGGAAGTTCTAGAGGTCAAAGGTCCTAAAATCAAGGTGTTGGCAGGGCTGCATTACTTCTGGGCTCTAGGGAAAATCCTTGCCTTTGCCCTTTCCAGCTTGCAGAGGCCAGTTGGATTCCTTGGCTCCCAGCTCCCTCCTCCATCTTCAAAACCAGCAGCGTAGCATCTTCCCATGTTTCTTTTCTCGCCCCCGCTTCCATTGTCCTCTTTTTCTCATACTCCCTCTTGCCTCCCTCTTTCCCTCATAACCCTCGTGATTACATTGGACCCAACTGGGTAATCCAGTAAAATCTTCCTATTTTAAGATCCTTATCTTAATCACAGCCGTAAAGTCCTCTCTGCCAGGTTAGGCAACATTCTGGGAACTATGATGTGGATATCTTTGGGGAAGGGGGTAGAATGGCATTATTCTGTCTCCCACCTCTAAGAACACCGGAACTCATGCATTACAAAATTTATGTTTGACATATTAAAAATAACAACTTTACTAGGTCATAAAGTTGACCCTGATGTTAATTGTTAATAAAGGTTATATCATTTTGGTTAACTTCCTAGAATTAAGGAGGACTTGGTGGAGCAAGGTGGGGCAAGGGGGAGGCAATATGAATGTCCCAGGTTCTAAAAAAAAAAGGTATCTTAAGAGGTTTGAATTAGGGCGCCTGGGTGGCTCAGTTGGTTAAGCGACTGCCTTCGGCTC